AGAGTTGTTGCTCAGCTCAGAGGCAGTCTCTCTGAGCTACGAAATCCAGACAAGAAGGAGTCTTCTCTGCTCACATGTGGATGATGAGCTTCCTCAGCAAGTATAAGTAAGGGCAACGAGAAAGATGTGAGAACAGCACCGAGTGAAGCTGGGGAAATTGATGGGAGAACTCTGGGTGGAAGAAAGCATGGAAGATTTTCTAGTCTGTTCCTCCGCTGCCAGAGATGACGTTTACTACACCATCCTGAACTAATATTAATGCTGACAAAGGCCTCCTTCTAGCTCCTGGCCTCCATGACCATGAAGTCAGTAAAGGTTGTGGTTATTCCCACAGTACCCAGCGGGTGGTGAATTGTCAGTTTTAGTCAGGGCCACACTTTGGCAGACCAGTAAGGAGTTTCTCTTGCTGGTGTTTTTCAAAAGCCTGGCCACCTGGCCACCTGGCCCACTGGAAAAAGAGCTTTCTGTGCCTAGCTCTCTATGTCTGAGTTGTTTTGTATGAATTAGAGGAGACTCAGCCTCAGAAGTGTCATGGGCCTGTACCCTAAGTGGGTCACCAGTAGCCACAAGACTGTTGTCTTCTAGACATGACTGGAGCTAATAATGAAAGGGGCTGCTTTCTGAGTCTGTTCCTTGTTGTAGCAGGTTCACATTGTACCATCTTGGGGTTCAGGACTTCACGTCCCACCAGTCCTAAGATCCATGTCCAGGAATATTTTTTGTGTGCTAAGCACAGCAGTGACATCCACTCAATTTGGGTCACAGGGTCCCCATCAGGATTCCTGGCACTCTGTGAGTTGCTTCATTCTAGGAGTAATATTATTAATTTCCTCCCCTATCTTCCTCCCGAGTCTGTCTTTAGGGCTTCTTTGGAGCCATCTGCCATTGGTATGTTGAGTCGGAGCATTCTTCAGCCAACAGAGCATGTCACTGGTGCACCTTGGGTCCTCTCTGGACCTGAACTATACTCTGTTCTTGCCTCATAAGGAGGGCAGTGATGAGAAGTTCTTTTAAGCTGGGCCTCATTGCTCCTTCCTCATTTCCTGCTCTCACGGCCCACCTCATTCTGTCCAGTGGTAAATAGCTCTCTAGGAAATCGGCAGACTGAATAGGGCCTCATTTCACATTCAGAACGCGGGCCACACGCTCTACCTGCCAATGGGAAAAAGAATGGTGTTACTATGTGACATTTTGGGATTAAAGGGAAGAGTGTTAGTTTTTCAGTGTATTTCTCAGAACACAGTCCCGTGGCTTCATAAAATCCTCCTAAATTCAGGTATTACATATTTTGTTGCAATCTGGTTTGAGAACAGAATAAGGCTCTGGCAGCTGACATTTATGGCTTTCCATATACACTTTCAGACAAAATTTGTATTGCATTTTGCTTGAGTTATGGTGGGACAGGAGTGTAAGCCTTACACTGCTATTTCAGATCAAATGGAGGCTTTGGCTGCAGTAAAGAAGAGAAGGTGCAGCTTTACATTTCTTGTAAACCAATTTTTGAGAGGTGTAAAATACCTACATAAAAGATAAAGAAAACAATAAACCAATCTACAGTGCAAACAGAGAATATTAAAGTTTGCATTTATTTTAATTTCCTTTTGCATATCTGTAAATAAGTCAGAATTTAAGCCTTACCTTGGATTCCCCGTAAATTTTACGAGAAATTCAAGCCACTCACTTCCAAGCCTGGTGGGCTGGGTGCCTGGTTAGCCCAGCTGAGAGATATTGTCATGCTCCACAAGCCAGGTGTTCCCTGCTGACTATGTTCCTGTTGCCAACTAATTTACAAGCAAATTCACCTGGAATTTAACTTCCTGGTTTAGAGAAGGGAAATCAACCAACGACAGAAAGAACTAATTTAAATTTCATCTGGAGCGGTGCTTCTGCATTGCTTGACATTGTCAAAATACAGATTGCCCCTTGGTGGCGGCAGCAGCTAAAACTTTCCTTTAGATGAGGCTAATTCTTCAAATCATGCCTCCCTCCTCTATCTTTTGATCCAAATCCTGCCCAGCCTATATGGACATTATTCTGGAGGAAACCCGGGCCTATACTGCAGAAGGGAATATATCGTGTGTTTAAATATATTTGAGATAATTTCAATGAAGTTTTGAGGTCATTTTCAATTAACATACTGTAAGTGTTTTCTCATGACGTTACAGATTTGTTGAAATCATGGTTTTGATGGCAGTTTAATGTCGCACACATAGTGTGGCTTGAATAACTTCTTTAATCATTTCCTTAATGACGGGTTTTGGACTGCTTCCGGTGTGTTGCTGTTATAAATCATGCATGCTTGTGATAAATCTACCTGCACATTAATCTCCTTCCTGACCTCTTGATTATTTCCTTAGAACAAATTCCTAGGTGAATTCCTGAGATAGACATTTTTTAGGATCTTAATACCCGATTTCCTAATTGCTTTCTGAATGCTAGCTGTGTCTTCCAGAGCTTCTGATTGGCTGAACACAGTTTGCTAGTTCCTTGGAGGCAGAAATCATGACTGCATTGTCCCTGTAATATTTTTACATGCCACAATGCTGGAGAGATAAGTGAATAATAAGTATATTTAGTTAAGTAATTGGAGGAATGAATAAGTAATTACCCTCTGTAGTAGTGACTCTGACAAGGGACTGGCCATGTTGATGACATTTGAGGAGAACTTGCTTCCTTCTTAGAAAAAGCATGTATCAGCCCCTTTGTGGGCTGCATCTTTTTCACAATCTACTAATTACAATTTTGTCACCCTCTAGAAAGGGAAAGCTCACAAGGACAGCCCCAAACAGGCCAAAAAGTCTTTAAATCAATAGAAGCTGTATTTTGCAGAATTTGTAACAGCTGCAGAAAAACATGTCACCAGGAGCCAGGGTCAGTGGAGTGGGATTTATCTGCTGTTTCCTCCTCTAGGATGTCTAAGATGCTGACTTTTAAGCACTACCGTCAGGTTCCGTTTCTTCTTGCATTGGTTGGAAAACCAGACTCCAGTGGTGGAGGTTTATTTCAGGGCAAGAGGAAAAAAAAATCTCTCTCTTTGGCCTGATTTACTGACCCTGGTTCCTGGTGGGCTTTCTTCACTTTGAAAAAGCTTGTTGGGTCTTTGCTGTCTGTGTTTTCCCATTTGAAAGAAACATGCTAATAAACATACATACACATATATACTCACATGTACATGTTATGTATATGTTTTGTGTGTTTTAAATAACAAAGTAATACGTGGTGGTAACAAATTAAAAGAAAGTAGAAACGTAAATGTAAAAAACAAAAACTTTCTCTTTTGGGCTCTGTAGACACCCAAACATAAATATATACATATACATATACATGTAGAATTTTAAAAATTTACCAAATAGAATGAAATATGACACATTTGATTTTTTTTTTTTTTGGAGACAGTCTTGCTCTGTCACCAGCCTGGAGTGCAGTGGCCCAATCTTGGCTTACTGCAACCTCTGCCTCCCAGGTTCAAGCAATTCTTCTGCCTCAGCCTCCCCAGTAGCTGGGACAATGGGTGCATGCCAGCACGCCCGGCTGTTTTTTTTGTATTTTTAGTAGAGATGGGGTTTAGTACAGACAGGGTTGCCCAGGCTGGTCTTGAACTCCTGAGCTCAGGCAACCTGCCTGCCTCAGTCTCCCAAAGTGCTAGGATTACAGGCATGAGCTACTGTGCCTGGCCTGATTTTTTTTTATACTTAATTTGTTTTTTATCCTTAATGACATATTGTGGGCATCTTTTAGAGTATGTTTATATAGCTCTACCTTATTTAAAAAAATAGTTTCATACTATTGCACTGTAAAATGATTAGTTTCCTATTGATCAACTTACTGAATATGTATTAAAATAATATAGAGTAATAATAATTGTAGGTAAATATTGACAGCACATTTCTGTGTGCCACCATTGTTCTAAGTGCTCCATTTTCTTTTTCTTGAGACAGGATTTTGCTCTATCGCCCAGGCTGGAGTGCAGTGGTGCAATTTCAGCTCACTGTAATCCCCACCTCTTGGGTTCAAGATCTTCCTGCCTCAGCCTCCCAAGTAGTTGAGACTACAGGCATGTGCCACCATGCCTGGATAATTTTGTGTTTTTTTTTTTTGTAGAGATGGGGTCTCACTATTTTGTCCAGTCTGGTTTTAAACTCTTGGAATCAAGCTATCCACCCGATTTGGCCTCCCAACATGTGGGGATTACAGGTGTGAGCCACCAAACCTGGCTGTGCTTTGTATTTATTAACTAATTAATCCTTCCAGCAACCCAGTAAGGTACAGTTCATGTTTATGTCCTACTTTATATGAGGACATTTGTGGTAGAGAGGCTAAGTAACTTGCTCAAATTTGCTCAGTTAGGAAGTGGCAAAGCCAGGATTCAAATCCAGCCGCCTGGCTCAGCACATATGCTCTTAAATGTGTTTGTTTGCAATTCTAAATGAATGTCCTTGTAGACAAACCTTTGTGCGTTCTCATTGGTAATTCGGAAGGAGAGATTTCTAGAAATGGGAACACTGAGCTTCAGTGTCTTTTCAGTAAGAATTGTAGAGATGTCATCATGTCCACAGAGATGTCACTCAGAGAAGTGATAGAGAGCAGCATGAGTATCAGAGTAGTAAGATACAACACGTCACATGCAATGGTGCAAGGCCTGATGGGTAGACCTGGTGGGTGTCTGTGGGGTGGATGAACAACGATGTCCATGATCTTTTGAGTTTCTGATTTTGCACAAACAGCAGAAGCAATGTTTTCCCTTTAGGGAAATAACTCGAAATAACCCAGGACTATTGGATTGGTGGTAAATGGTGTTCCTTCCCACTCTGTGCTGTCTTTTTGGGAAGATCCCGAGGAACGTGCTTTATATAATTACAGGGCTTTCACTGTGATGGGACCTGGGGGAGAAACAGTAGCCAGTGGGCGGTTTGTTGGGGAGATGGGTGGAGACTGCATTGCATTTATTCCATTACATCTCAGAACACGGTTTTATTCTTTTGCTTTCCTTTCTTGTGCAGTGACAGAGAGTCGAGGGATTGTGGATAGCCTGCAGAAGTTCTCCTCGCTCCCGGCTTACCTCCCCTCAAGCTTGCACATCTCCAACGCAGAGGAGTCCTTCTTCCTCAAAGAAGCCAACCAAGATCTCACGAGGAATGCCAGTCTGCAGGCCCGGGTGGAGCCATTCTTCATCTACCGAGCCAGGACACCCCCTATTATCAATGCCAGCTATGGCCCGTTTTCCGTGGAGAAGATGATCCCCCAGGAGCTCTTGTTGACATCCACAGCCTTTGGAAACATGGACAAGTTTCCCTTCAACTGGAAGTTGAAATCCCACATCCTTGACAGCTCCATCTACTCCAACAGACCCAAAGTGCAGACCTTGTTTTATGTCACTGGCATGGGCTGGGATGACAGCGATCTTACTGAAGATCTACCCTGTGTCAAGATGTTTGCTTTCCCTGAGGCCAGGGAAGTGGCAGCCAGCTGTCGGCTGCAGGGTGCCCCGGGGCTGTGTGTGGCTGAGCTGGAGCTGCTGCCCGAGTGGTTCAGCTCAGGCCTGGACCTGGAGCCAGAGGAGGAGATCCCAGCCCTGCTGGGGGGAACTGCGATGGAGCTCTTCTTCACGCTTTACCCAGCCGATAAGGCTGGCCAGTGTCCTCTGGAGGAGGAAGGCAAGTGGGAGAACAACATCCACGCGGGCCTGGAGAGCCCCCAGCAAGCATTTCCAGCCCGAGAGAGGATTGGGAGTGTGGTTGTCTACCCAACCCAAGATGATCTGAAGTGGTCCCTGGTGAGCTTGGATGAGAACGTCGTCATCTCGGTACCCCTGAATCTGGTCCGGGAAGGGGACACGGCCACCTTTTTGGTCTCTCTGACCAGTAGCTCTGTGGCAGACCAGTTCACTCTTAGGTAAGAGGCTTTGCCAGGTGGGGTGGAACAGAAACCAACTCTTGGTAACCAATGAATTGTCAATTAATAAAATGGGTGTTGATCATTTGCTGAGTATGGTCAAAAATAAGTGCAGCTGGACATTAGTTAAAGTGAAAACAGATTTTATTCAGTAACTACGGACAGTACGGAAAGAGCTGAGCTTCATTACAATTTGTGCAGAGGTGATTTGCGTGTTTTAAAGGGAGAATGAAGGATGGGGAAGAGTGGAGTCTCCACAGAGCCAGAGAAGCGACATAGTACAAAGGTTGGGCAGCATAAATGCAATGAGGCCTGCTGTGTCTACTGGCTCGCAGTTATCAAAGTTAGCACTTACCCTCCCACAGAGGCTGGGAGACAGAGGCCCTGTCCTTCCTGCTGATTCTGTTTCAGAAGAATGGTTCTCAGGTGCTTGGGAGAGACGCTTCTTAGTTGCAAGAGACAGATATTTACAATTGTAAGCCCTTTCTTGTAAATGCTGTAAGAAAGGGAGGTCAGGGGGTATCATCAGGTGTACCTTGGCTGGAACAAACAGGAAACCCCCTGGCCATGCTGAGCTTTCTTAAGCAGGTACTATGAGAGGTGCAGACGTGATCCTAGGGACACAGCCTTACGCTGCTAGAAGCCGTGCTAGAGTTTGGTCAAGTTTCTGAGTGCGGGGGTTTGGATGGAGTTGCCATGTGCTGAGAGTTCTGCAGTTTTCAGTATCCTGTGTAGTGAGAGATTCAAAACATGAAATAGAGACCCACACAAGACAATAGACCAGGGGTCAGAAAACTTCTTGAAAGGGTCACATGGTAAATAGGCATCATGGGCCATGTGGTCTCTCTGGTGATGATTCAACTCTGCTGTTGCAGGATGCAAGCAGCCATAAATGAATGGGCGTGGCTGGGTTCCAATAAAACTTCAGTTACAAAAACAGAGGACTGAATTTAGCCCAGGGGTCATGGCTTGCCAACTCCTGCAGTATGTGACCGTGCTGAAGCTTGAGTAGTAGAGACCGTGAAGTCCGCAGGAATTCATGGGTGAGAGTTGTGTGTGTTGCAACGGACAGAGAATGTTTCATTTTGAGCTAGATCTTGAAGGATGAGTGGAATTTGGGGGCAGAGAAAGAAACAGTTCAAAATTGGGGGAACAAAGTCCAGTCAAGAGACTGAGACAACATAAGTATATTAAAAGCAAGAATTTGATATAAAGAAATGTTAACTATGTATAAAGAAATGTTAACGAGGTAATTGAGAAGTCAAGAAGGCAATACTGAAGTACTGGGGAAGAGGCAGCTGCAGAAAGCAGCTAGCATCCCTCCAGCTGGGAGAATAAGGGAAGAAATTAAAAGTTTCATAAACTTGGATCTTGGAGCAGGGATCCTGCAGAGCAGAAACTGAAACCCCTGAGAAGAGGGTACAGGTTGTGCTGGTGTCACCAGGGCGAGGAGTCATAACACTGGTTCTTCAATAGTTGGAGATACTGCAGACTGGATTTATTTGCCATTGTGGAAGTGAATTGCAGCTGCTGTCATGAATCAGCAAGGCTGGGTGCCATTCATCAGAACGAGAAGCAAATAGGAAGCCAATGGAAAGAGGAAAATTCCTTCTCCCACCTTCCACCTGCCAGTCTCCTTCTAGCACCCCCTATTGACAGAATAAAACAGGGCTCCTGCTGGCATCTATATTTTCTGAAAGCTCCCCCAAGTAAATCTGTTGTGAAACCAGGATTAAATACAACTGTTCTGAGGGCAGAGTTCTAGACTGTGAGGTTCAAGGGCTTCTTCTTCAGGAAGGCTTTAAAAGCTCTCACACGATAGTCTGATCCTATCCGTACCCTGTTTGATGTGTCAGGCAGAATCCTACAATGTTGCATGTCGGTGGAAACCTTGTAAATGAATTTCAACTTCTAAATATATGGAAAGGCTTTCTAAGATAATTCCTTTCTCTGAAGTAAAGAATTCTTTGTTAAAATGAGTCAGCAGCCTCTATCTGTATGATGAAGATTTGGTTTTAGGATAGCTAAAAGTAGGAGACTTCTATTTTGTTGTTTTATTTTTTTTGAGATGGAATCTTGCTCTGTTGCCCAGACTGGAGTGCAGTGGCATGATCTTGGTTCACTGCAACCTCTGCTTCCAGGGTTCAAGCGATTCTCCTGCCTCAGCCTCCCGAGTAGCTGGGACAACAGGTATGCACCACCACGCCCAGCTAATTTTTGTATTTTTAGTAGAGATAGAGTTTCACCATATTGGTCAGGCTGGTCTCAAACTCCTGACCTTGTGATCTGCCTGCCTTGGCCTACCAAAGTGCTGGGATTAGAGGTGTGAGCCACTGCTCCCAGCCAAGTAGGGGACTTTTATGTGCTGGGGGGACAAGCCTGTCTTTTCCTGATTTTGCTCTCAAAAATATCTGGTGGCTTTGCCATATGCCAGATGTGTGCCCTTGGGCAAGTTACTTAATCTCTCTGGACCTTAGTTTCCTCATTGGTATGATAGGGATAATGATGAGATCTATTTCCTGGGGTGGTGGTAAAGATTACATAAGTTAAAAAGTTCTTAGAACAATGGCAAATTGGGAGTCCTCAGTGAATGTTAGCCTGTGGTTGTTTCTCTGGAACTCAGGAACTGGGTATATACATTCCAACATAAGCAAGCTTTGCTTTACAGATGCAAAGGGGAATTCATTGTGAGTCCGGTGTGGTCCTTCTGATCCTGACTGAGGCTGATCATGCGTTTTTGGAGTTGTACTTGTTCAGATGCCCACCAACAGGATTCCAAGCCTCTGGCAGATCCCAAGTGGATTTTGTAGCCTGGAAGAAGCCAATATTCTGTTTGGAGTCTTTTGATTTAGCCTTTGGCTGTTACTAATTCAAAACTTGGTATAGACTGGAAGGGGTGCGGTGGTCTAAAACAAGTTCTTGGCTCTCACAGAAACTAGAGAAGCCTGAAATCCAACTGCAGAGAGATTATTTTAATATAAGGCAGTGTCATATGTTTGCTTGGACAAGCATTCTTGGTCCAAGAATGGCCAAGGGATGGCTTCATTGGCCCTGCGTTTCAGCACCCCCTCTGCCATGGCAGACATTATCAATCAACTGTAGCACTTCAGCACATTCTCTGCCACAGCAGACACTACCAATCAACTGTAGCACTTCAGCACTCCCTCTGCCATAGAAGACATTGAGCCTGCCCCTTCAGGCAGCCCCTATCACTGCTGTGGGGACTGGCACATAAGACTGAACTCATTTGCCACTCCAGGTATAGAGAGAATATTTTGGATGGGAAGTTGGAGGAAAAGGAGGGCAGATGGTCTGGCGGTGAGCAAAGCCTTGGAGTCTGGCTAGGAAAGGTATTTCAGGCCAGGCAATGGCATACACAGCATTAGCTAACACTCATTGAGACTTAGAATGGTTCAGCCCATGTGGTAAGTTCATTACATGAATTAACTCATTAAACTCTGTCAACAAACAACTCAAAAAGGCAAATACCATTATTATTCCCATTTTTTTTGAGGTACAGAGAGGTTAAGTAGCTTGTCTTGGGTCACACAGGTAGGGATTGGTTGGTGGGAACCCTGGTGATCTGGCCCTACAGCTTGTGCCCTTCATCCCCACAGCTCACTGCCTCTAACAGACAAGGAGAGGCACCAGCTGCACCCCCAGCTGTGTGTGGCCCAGTCAGGCCAGAACTACGGGTTAATTTAGGGAAGAGGAGATTCATTTAGGGATGAGACTGGAAGAGGACCCAACATCCAGACTGTAGAAAGCCTTAGAGTGCTATCTTAATGGTAATTAGAAACCTCTCAAGTGGTTTTCTTTTTTCCCCAAAGAAGTTAATTTTAGAGCTGAAATGGACTCTAACTCTGACTTGGCCTTGAAAAATCAAGCAGCGAACTGTCAGCCTCCTAGAAACAGCATCCCTGGAGCCTTTGGAATTTGGATAGTGCCTCTGCAGCCCTCCAGCAGCTTCTTCCTTTAGGGAACCCAGTAGGATTTTAGATTCTTACTTGGCCTTTGGAGTTAAAGAGACAGGAGAGGGAGAGGAGCAGAGGAGGCAGTCCAGTCAAAGGATGTTTCCAAATCTTTGTTTAAACTTTAGTTTTGGGGCCTTGATACTTACCTAAAGGAAAAACATTTACTCAACAGTTTGTAAAACTGGTGGCAGTAGCCAAATTCATCTCATAGATGTGTGCCCTATTTAGCCCACCTGACATTCTTTAAAATATTTAAGAGAGTTGCCAACTTCTAACCATTGGGAGATTTTATGTACCATTTTCTTTGAAAATTTTAAAGGTTTAGCAACTGAGCACTTGCTGGTTATAGTTAACCCCCTTTAGATGCATTATAAATTGTCTAGTTCACCCCAGTCTCCACTACTCCCTTTTGTCTCACACCTGGCCCATTTCGCTCACATATGTCACCCGTCTGGCTTCTGAGGGTATTTGAATTTTGAAACCCTGAGTCAGTACTGGGATAAAAAAGGATGCAGTGCTAAAAAGGGAGTTTGGATTTGAGTCTACAGAGGCAGGCATTGCCAATTCATTCATTGTGTGTGTTTGTGGGAGTCAGAAGTGACCAGGGAGTGTATCACAGGGAGTGAAGCCACCCTCCATTGTTGCTGACACTACACAGTGGATTAGTTAACTTCATGTAGAGCACTTAGAAGAGTGCCTGGCACACTGTGGGCACACCAATGCTCTTATATGCTATAATTAACATGTATTCATTGATACTGTTAATTCATACTTTTAAATTATTGTGTGTACTTGTCCCGGGTTTTGCGTTTACCCTTTCTGTACATTGCCTCACTGTGTTATCACAGCCAGCATACAAGGTAAGGACTAGTCACATCCATGCTATGGATATGGAAACTGCAACTCTGAAAGGTGAGTGGTTACCTGTCTGAGGTCATGCATTGGAGAAGCGGTGGAATTGCGATACAGGCCTGCGTTGTGTGAGTTGAGAGCCCCATTTTAAACCACTCTTCTGGACTTTTCTGC